ATTGTTTTGAGTCTACAAGGTCAACGAATTTGTTCCAAAATTCGTCCCAATCTTCCTCATCTTTTCCTGAGAAAGTGGGTAAATTAATTGGAGGGAGTCGAGCTTCTGCTTGACTCGTATTAGATGCAACTGTTGTTGTTGTTGCTGTTGCCTTGTTCTGGGCAATTAATTTGACATAAGGCTGTAACGTGGCCTGAGTGTGATCTTCATAATTCGCAAGATCAACCATAATGTCGTCTATTTCTGTTTCTGATAAATTAGTGTTGGCAAGTTCAGCCACATATGTTGCTATTTGACATTTAATTTGCTCAAATTTACCTGCAGCTGCTTGATAATAGCTTTCCAGGTCAGCATAATCAACTGTTGATTGTTGTGACAAATCTTCACATTTCTTGATCTGTCTTGTTAAGTGGCCTTTAAGACCTGCAAGGGTTCTTTTCATTCTCCCTGCATTATCCATACTGGCTCGTTGGTGAAGCCTTGTGGGACTTGTACTTGGGCTGCTCATAATACTGAACAAGCTCTAATGGTAGCCTAGGGTAAATTCTGAACTCACTAGGCAATAATCCTACCTCTACTAGAGGTTAGCACTTAAAATTAATACACATTATATATATACAATCATACACACTAATGATTTGAGTGATAAACCAGTGTCACTGGAAGTACCTTTAGGTTAGCTCTTCTATATCACCCTAGGATGGAATTGACACTAATTAATCACTCAAAGGTGTAATGATCATAAGTAAATTATTATATACACAACTCAACTCGAGTTGATAAAAATTACACCCAAATAGGGTCTGGACCATTCATTAATGGTGTTAGGTTATTCAATATAGTACAACGGACTATGGTAATAATGGGACTAGAATGAGCAATAATAGTTCAACTAGTCAATGGTTAATATCCTACCCTGTTGTGGGTTGGCAATTAGTAAATATTATACTATGCTCACTAGTGCAATATATATTAAATAATTCTCTATTTGGAGAAATAATATACACAATTATTGATAATAGCCTCTTAATTAGCCTCTATGAAACTTCTAATATTATCTAGAAGTATTAAATGTTATTAGTGACCTCGCGAAATAAACTCCACAAAATTCGTAGATAATCTCTCGCGAAATGTAACACCACGAAATCCGTGAACAATCTCGCGAAGACACAGTCACTAATTTGGCTGGGTTCTATATTAGCGCTGTCATTTCACGAAATAACACGCCACCAAATATCTGTGGGTGTGCATGAAACCGCTGACGAAGCTGAACTGGGCTGAGGGAGGCTCCTGAGCTCCCACGAGGCTACGCTGCCGTCTTGACTGCTGGCTTTGTTTAAATAACACTGCACTAGTATATTTAATGAATCCACTGGTTAACTGGTTCATCCGGTACTAAGATGACCAAATGTGGGTTCAAAGGATCAAATAATCCGTCATCCGGTTCGAAGGACCAAATAATGTGGGAACCGACCTGTGAGATTTATATTTATTTAATTTATATGAATTTATATTTACGTTAATTTATATACTTCGATAGCAATTTGTATAATGATAAGTGGACTGTATTTCTGCAATAATCTCATAATCTCACAAATCGATCCTCTACACATTAGGGGGGGGTTTAATAGTTTATATATATATGCAGCCAATCAAATTGCAGTAATAGCTACATACATTGATGAGGTTCCTTATCTTATAGTACAGCAGGTTAGTCCACCAGGTATAACTAGGGTGTAGACACCAAATTATCCTCTTTGAGGTAGCTTCCATATCACCCAGTAACTGGTGCACAAATCTTGCATCCTCGTCTTGACCTGTCAAAAGTGCGCTAGCTGTGAAGCCAGATACCTATATATGACAAGTATATCAGAGAAAACAGTACATGGAACATGAAGACCTGGCTTAATTACCTTTAGTTTGAGGCTTCCATGTGATCTAACCGGTTCACCCTATATAATGACATTAATGGCCACCAATGATAAATAATGGGTTTCGGAAAGAACACTTAACTTGATTTGTTGACAGCGTGTTGACAGATGGTACACCTTTGGTATCCATAACACTACGTCCAAGTAAAATTAACAGGAGCCGAATTTGCTCCCGTGTGAGCCTCTGGTCTCGTATATCAATGGCTGCCCCCCTTCCCCACTGACGCCTGGCCTACTTGTCCAGATGTCAATAAGTGATAGAAGGGTCACATTTACTCTACTTTAATATTGATAATTAAGTTAATTTATATAAGATGTTTTTATGATGGTAAAGTCCAAAGACTAATGTATTTAAGAATAATTCCCAGCAAAATAGCTGGTGAATTATAATAGTATGTGGTGATGATATCCCGTTTTCTTTAGATGGTAATTCCACTACAAGTTACGTTTTCTATGGGTAACTTGTTTATACAACACAGCTATTATCTGTATGATTATTAAATGGTGTCGGATTTTCCGACAAAGCGTACGACTTAACCAAACTAGAAATGCTTTACAAATCAAAGGACCCAGAATGTGGAATGACTTCACAAATCATGTCAAAGTCTGTACCTCTCTCAACCAGTTTAAGAGTAGACCCAAGTACTCCCTGTAACCTACTTTACCCCCTAAATGTCAACCCATGTCTTGCTATTTCAAACAATGCTGCTTGTTGACCAACTTGAATAATTGCTGATTTCTGCCATGTTCCCACCTTTTTTATTTTTTATTCCTTTTTTCAACACAATTTATACCTAATCCCAATTAGTATTAAGTTTTAGTATAAGTGTTTTTTCCCCACCTCGCCTTGCCAGAAACGCTCTGCGTACTAGTGGCTTTAGGTATTGTATGTACTGCCTCTATCTTTAAATCAAACATTATGTTTGTAACTAATCTTATATGTATGTACTTTTACCTGAATAAAAATTTGAATTTGAATTATTATGATCCAGGTAAACCGGAGCCTAACTAGTGTGATCCAGGTAAACTGAAGCCTAACTAGTGTGGTCCAGGTAAACCGGAGCCTAATTAGTGTGGTCCATGTAAACTGAAGCCTAACTAGTGTGATCCATGTAAACTGAAGCCTAACTAGTGTGGTCCAGGTAAACTGAAGCCTAACTAGTGTGATCCATGTAATCTGAAGCCTAACTAGTGTGGTCCAGGTAAACTGTAGCCTAACTAGTGTGATCCATGTAAACTGAAGCCTAACTAGTGTGGTCCAGGTAAACTGTAGCCTAACTAGTGTGATCCATGTAAACTGAAGCCTAACTAGTGTGGTCCAGGTAAACTGTAGCCTAACTAGTGTGGTCCATGTAAACTGAAGCCTAACTAGTGTGGTCCATGTAAACTGTAGCCTAACTAGTGTGGTCCAGGTAAACCGGAGCCTAACTAGTGTGGTCCAGGTAAACCGGAGCCTAACTAGTGTGGTCGAGGTAAACCGGAGCCTAACTAGTGTGGTCCAGGTAAACCGGAGCCTAACTAGTGTGGTCCAGGTAAACCGGAGCCTAACTAGTGTGGTCGAGGTAGACTAGTGTGGCTGGTGTACACACACGCAACGCGGGGTATTACAACATGGTATTTTCTGAGGCACTGACACTTGCGCAGAATATTCTGTAGTGTTTATAAGACCAGGGATAGTGGCCCGTCTGGCGTGGTGGCCCGCCTGGGGTGGTGGCCCGTCTGGCGTGGTGGCCCGCCTGGGGTGGTGGCCCGTCTGGCGTGGTGGCCCGCCTGGGGTGGTGGCCCGTCTGGCGTGGTGGCCCGCCTGGCGTGGTGGCCCGCCTGGCGTGGTGGCCCTCCTGGCGTGGTGGCCCGCCTGGCGTGGTGGCCCTCCTGGGGTGGTGGCCCGCCTGGCGTGGTGGCCCGTCTGGCGTGGTGGCCCGTCTGGCGTGGTGGCCCGTCTGGGGTGGTGGCCCACCTGGCGTGGTGGCCCACCTGGGGTGGTGGCCCTCCTGGGGTGGTGGCCACCATTGATTGAGCAAAAAATGGAAAACCTGGAAACCATCTTTCTCACAATTGTTTGGAATTATTTGGAATGAACAAGACAGTCAACGTCCTACAATCAAAGGACGTAAACATTCTTGTTGCCAGAATCTTCTTGAGGCTATGATAACCTATCTTCAGGAAACTAGAGACAAATTGAGTGAATATGAATTCAAAGTCAGGAGTATGTGTCCAGATACTGATTATAGTAATGGGAAAATACGGCAAGGAAAACGAAGTGTTCGTCTTAGTAGATATGATGGATCAGTAGAAGATATACTTCACATTAAAACCGAAAAATTCATAGTGGAAACTTTCCTCTCTATTCTGGACACTGTAATCTTTGAACTGATAAACCATGCTCTGAAACTCTCCCTGGACAGATGTAATAGGACCTATTATCACCACACCAGAAATAAATATGTCTTTGATATCCCCAGAGTCAAACTTAATCTGTGTAAACACTATGCAAATTAAGGGACCCAGTCTATGGAACTCACTCCCTAATGAATTGAAAAGCTGTCAAACTTTTGCCTTATTTAAAAACAAAAACAAAAAGTACCTAATTTCATCTTCGTAGTGTCCTACACTGAGCTTTAAATTTTCTCTGTATCTAGTGTTACCCAATCTCCCAATTTTTATGTACTTAACCCAAACAACCTTATCATTGTGTTCATTGCTGTCTTCTTTATGTGCTAGCCATATGCTGTATTGTGCCTACCAATTTTGGTTAAAATACCATTCACGCTGTCATTGCAATCAATCTTAGCTACCTATGTGCTTTAATATACCTACAATTTTCTCTCATCTTTTATTCTTTTTCTTGCCATGTAACTGTTATCATTTTTATAAATTTTGCAAGTATTTACCTACTTATAAGTTTCTTAGATTAAGGACCTGCCCGAAACGCTGCGCGTACTAGTGGCTTTACAAGATTGTAATTACTATGCTATGTATCCTCACAATCCCAATGTACCTTCTTGTATATATATATATATAAATAAATAAATAAATAAATAAATAAAACGTGCAGAGGCTCGTTCACAGATTGGAAATGTGTTTTCTTTCTTCAGTGAATTGAGAACCATTACTTCTGAAGCACTAAAGAAAAAGTGTGAACGTCTGGCTAATGTGTCCCGAAGACCTGAATTATGATGACCTTATAAATGAATGTGAGCATCACTATCTGGCTCGTGGTAAACATTGTGAGACTCTCCCTGGAGCCGGATTCACGAAGGAATTGCGCAAGCATTTAAGAACCTGTACATCTTTTCTCAATCTTTGGCGGCTTTGTTTACAAGTATTAAACAGTTAATGAGCTCCAAACCACCAGGAGGCTGTTTATACTAATAACAACAGTTGATTGGCAAGTTTTCATGCTTGTAAACTGTTTAATAAATGTAACCAAAGCCGCCAAAGATTGAGGGAAAATGTACACGTTCGTAAGTGCTTGCGTAACTGCTTCGTGAATTTGGCCCCTGCACTCTACAGAAAAAATAATTCCGGACAATTTGAGATCAGTATTCCTGAATGTTGACATTGTACTCCAAGTGTTCATGAGCATGGTGGTGACCCACTGTGCAGGAGAACGGTCGTTTTCAACACTGAAACTTATACAAAATCTGCTTCGTAGCACAATGGGTTACCTTGAGATGGTTTCGGGGCTTAGCATCCCCGCGGCCCGGTCCTCTACCAGGAATCCTCGTCGAAGTCCAAACGGCGGGCAACATCGTTTGAAATGGCATCGTTTTGGGGCCCATAATGTTGTTAAGACGGCCCTGGTCATAGGGGCCCCAACATACTGGTGTGTCCAGGGCCCATAATGTTGTTAAGACGGTCCTGGTCATAGGGGCCCCAGCATACTGGTGTGTCCAGGGGCCCATAATGTTGTTACGATGGTCCTGGTCATAGGGGCCCCAACATACTGGTGTGTCCAGGGCCCATAATGTTGTTAAGACGGCCCTGGTCATAGGGGCCCCAACATACTGGTGTGTCCAGGGCCCATAATGTTGTTAAGACGGCCCTGGTCATAGGGGCTCCAGCATACTGGTGTGTCCAGGGCCCATAATGTTGTTAAGACGGCCCTGGTCATAGGGGCCCCAGCATACTGGTGTGTCCAGGGGCCCATAATGTTGTTAAGACGGCCCTGGTCATAGGGGCCCCAGCATACTGGTGTGTCCAGGGGCCATAATGCTGTTAAGACGGTCCTGGTCATAGGGGCCCCAGCATACTGGTGTGTCCAGGGGCCCATAATGTTGTTAAGACGGCCCTGGTCATAGGGGCCCCAGCATACTGGTGTGTCCAGGGGCCCATAATGCTGTTAAGACGGCCCTGGACTCCCCAGCAGGGGTCCCAGGGGACAAGACTCCCCAGCAGGGGTCCCAGGGACAAGACTCCCCAGCAGGGGTCCCAGGGACAAGACTCCCCAGCAGGGGTCCCAGGGACAAGACTCCCCAGCAGGGGTCCCAGGGGGACAAGACTCCCCAGCAGGGGTCCCAGGGACAAGACTCCCCAGCAGGGGTCCCAGGGACAAGACTCCCCAGCAGGGGTCCCAGGGGACAAGACTCCCCAGCAGGGGTCCCAGGGGACAAGACTCCCCAGCAGGGGTCCCAGGGGGACAAGACTCCCCAGCAGGGGTCCCAGGGACAAGACTCCCCAGCAGGGGTCCCAGGGAACAAGACTCCCCAGCAGGGGTCCCAGGGGACAAGACTCCCCAGCAGGGGTCCCAGCGGACAAGACTCCCCAGCAGGGGTCCTAGGGACAAGACTCCCCAGCAGGGGTCCCAGGGACAAGACTCCCCAGCAGGGATCCCAGGGACAAGACTCCCCAGCAGGGGTCCAAGGGGGACAAGACTCCCCAGCAGGGGTCCAAGGGGACAAGACTCCCCAGCAGGGGTCCCAGGGACAAGACTCCCCAGCAGGGGTCCCAGGGACAAGACTCCCCAGCAGGGGTCCCAGGGGACAAGACTCCCCAGCAGGGGTCCCAGGGACAAGACTCCTCAGCAGGGGTCCCAGGGGACAAGTCTTCCCAGCAGGGGTCCCAGGGACAAGACTCCCCAGCAGGGGTCCCAGGGGACAAGACTCCCGCTGCCTTGATCATATGTTCCTCAGGTACTACACCTATAAAAAGTGTTACAATACATTGACTGCCAAAAATAGAGCCTTGCTCCCTGCATCATTTAACACAATAATAATTACTGAATTATAATGAGAGGAATTGACCTGTGAGGCGACCCGGGCGATGCCGGGTCATCGTGTTCATAGGGAAAGGGTCGTTTCGAACACAAGACGATTCAACGAAACACTTATTTATTGTTATACCAAGGGGCTGTATTAATTGAAATTGGGCTGTATTGGATTTAGTTGAGTAGAGGAGGGTTGAGAGGAGGGTAGATAAGGGTAGAATGGTAGATAAGGGTAGATAAGGGTGAGTGTACGAGACGGCAGGTGGAGGCGGTCCGGGGGATCAATGTGCAGTAAACATGGCGCTCTCCAAGTACTCGGTGGGGGAGACCGGCCTGCCCAAGTGGCAGGTGGCCCTGGCCCTGGGCGGCACCCTGGCCGCCGGTGCCGCCCTCTACTACTACTGCTGCCTCAGACACCACCCCAAGGACGACCCCAAGACCAAGACGCCCGCGGCCGCCGCCCACGACGACGCCCTCACTCGCCCCTCTTCTACCCCTTCACACAACATGGTGGGTCACGCCGGCCGTGGGGCACGGCAGGGTATGGCAGGTGTGGGGCATGGCAGGCGTGGGGGAGGCACGGCAGGCCATGTCACGTGTGGGGCACGGCAGGCCATGTCACGTGTGGGGCACGGCAGGCCATGTCACGTGTGGGGCACGGCAGGCCATGTCACGTGTGGGGCACGGCAGGCCATGTCACGTGTGGGGCACGGCAGGTGTGGGGGGGCACGGCAGGCCATGTCACGTGTGGGGCACGGCTGGTGTGGGGAGGCATGGCAGGTGTGGGGGGCATGGCAGGTGTGGGGGCACGGCTGGTGTGGGGCAGGGCACGGCAGGTGTGGGGCATGGCAGACCATAACACGTGTGGGGCATGGCAGGTCAGGCTGGTGTGGGGCATGGGGCACGAGCACAACAAGCTGGGGGCTTGTTAAGTCCCGCCAATTGTCCTTATGATATTTTCTAGCTGGATTTTGGCATTTAAGGCTTCAGCGGGTAGGCGGTTCCATGGATTTATAACCCTCTGGATGAAAAAACTTCTGTTTTCGGTCCTACTTGAGAGAACATACTCTCCAACACTGTATCTGTGATTGTCCTGTTATCAGTGACTTCATACCAAATGGTATGAGGTACTTTGACCTCTACTTCATACACTCGGGAATATTGGAAGATATTCTTGTGCTGTACCCAGATTTTACCAGTGTAGGCTAATAGATCAGCCTTTTCAGCCTTTGGAGCCGGTCGGCCGAGCAGACAGCACGCTGGACTTGTGATCCTGTGTTCCCGGGTTCGATCCCAGGCGCCGGCGAGAAACAATGGGCAGAGTTTCTTTCACCCTATGCCCCTGTTACCTAGCAGTAAAATAGGTACCTGGGAGTTAGTCAGCTGTCACGGGCTGCTTCCTGGGGATGGAGGCCTGGTCGAGGACCGGGCCGCGGGGACACTAAAAAAGCCCAGAAATCATCTCAAGGTAACCTCAAGATTACATTTTATGTTCTCTCCTGATTCCATGTATGACTGGCCGTCCTGTGAGATAGGAATGTTGGACGAGCTTATAGCTAGTTTTTGATAAACACTGTGTGGTCCTTCAGACAGAATAGGGAAGCAGCACATTGCGCCCTAGCGTGTTAAAAGAAATACTATACATTGAGAGGAGTCTTGTAGAAACTGGTAAGAGTAATTATAATACAGTGGGGCCTCGACTTACGATGCTCATCCATTTCCAGAGACGGATCGTAAGTCGAAGCGATTTTTCCCATAAGAAATAAAGAGATTTGAATTAATCCGTTCCCCACCCTCCAAAATATTAACATACAAATACATTTTATACTGAATACAATATTTTTTCTAACTACAATACAGTACCGAAGTTTATCTTACCTTTATGGAGGGCTCTTGATGGTGTATGGAAGATGGTGATGAGGGGGAGGAGGAGAGTTGTTACTGTGTAACACTGTAAAAGTGTTTGGGTTAGTTTATTTAAAATATATATAGAGTACACGAGTCACAGACAAGGATCTGAGAGGCGCCAGTTGTCTGCCTGAGATCTCACACCTCTAACCGTTAATGACCCCAAGTGACCTGAGGTCAGATCATGATAATTTCACCTTGCTTCCGCTAAGCGCATAATTGGAGCCGGGTAGCCTTCAAACATGCCGACGTTTAAGGAGTGGCTTGGTAGTGCCGGAGGCTATCTACTTGTGGGCGGAGTTAGCTACTAGGTTCCCCAATATAAACTCGGAGAGCTATCCAGCATGGAGCATTAACAGACAGAACGGCAGTCAGGATTGCAGAAGAGACGGCCTAGCAGGAAGGCTGTCGGCCGGCAGGGCGGGAGTCTCTGTCAACTACAGACCCCCCCCCCTCTATCCAGCTATAGGCAGAGACACTTGGTGAGTGAACAGTGAGGTGACTTGTCGTGTTTTACAAGTGTTGTGTGACGATCAGGGGCAGTCAAGTTGTAGGGTTCTCGAATTCTTGGATGATGACTCACTTTGCATATTAAACTGGAACATTTTAATTGGATTGCTAAATTATGATACTTAATGTGAAATATAATTGTTGAATTTATCATTTAAATGGACTTTATTTTGTTCCCTAGAGATTTGAGTTGAGGTGAGAAAGCTTCTGTGGTTACTGGTTTCATGGTTTAGAATGAGTACATGATAAAGATGGGAACTACTAATAATGAACTCATGATAACATCTTTTGAGAATTTTGTGATACAGGCAAGTTCCATTCCTTGTCTTGTATGTAATGATCATGAATGGATGGTGGCAGCATTTCGTCTTCTACTATCTACTCTTCTACTTCTACTATCTACTCTTCTCCTTCTACCTATCTACACCTCTCCCTCCACCCCTCTCTCAACTCTCACTTTCAACTAATGACCCTCCTCGCCCCTCCCACTTCTCTCCCTCTCACCCCAAACCCTCACTAATTACTTCACTATTCATTTCTTTCCTTTCGTTTCCTCTTATACGTTTGTGGCATGATCCTATATTCTAGAGTTCTCTCTAGAGTTTCGGGTAGCTGATCCAGTTACGGCGCCTTGTAGTCTTAGCACCTAGGTAGTCGAATACCTAGGTTACAAGGTGTTGAACGAGAGAGGTTGCCTTAGGAACTCTGGGAGTGCTCTAGAATAGTTAGCTAACTGGAGACGGGATAACGGACTAGAGAGAGCTGTTTCCCCCGGCTTCGTTAGTTAACTGGGGGGTGGAATAATGGACTAGATAGAGCTATTTCCCCCCACCCCCCCGTTACAACTGTTTGGAAGGGGAGTCCCCTTCCATTATCACATCAGGCAGTGATGTTTTCTCTGGGATACTCTCTCTCCTACGTTTTTCCTGAATACCACTAGGACCTGGTTGTGGTTCAGTGCTTGTTTGTCTCACTATTATTTTGTCAAGAGACATTTGTTTTTCCCTTAGTTTTAACATTTGTCTGTAATGATGCATCACTTTAGGACCCATAATGTCCTTTTTCTTAGCCAGTATGGTGGATATCGTTGACTGAGTTTTGTTGTACTGCCTAACCAGTCCAACAACCCGCACACCATCTTCATATTTACGAATGATCTCTTGCTTCTGCTCTATGGTCATCCTTATATGGGATCTCATATGTTGAGCCTTACCACTGACTTTCCTGGGACTCATGGCGTGATATACAATAATTAATGTTTAAATTGCAAAAAATCACCACAAAAGCGAAATTTCTTATAGGCGCGATTGTCACTAAGCGGGCAGCTGTAGTAAACTGAGGCAGGTCGGACTGCTTGACCGGGAACCATGCGCTCGGTCGACCCGAACGTGTACCAACAAATATCGTAAGTCGACGACACCATCGGATGTTGAGTCGCATTTTTCGATGAAATTTACACGTAACTTGAAATTATCGTAAGTAGGGGCAATCGTAAGTCGAGGTGCCACTGTATAATGTTATGTGATTCAGTGTTTACCTCTTGTGAAAATCGTGAAGTTGTTGTTTAAAGTTGATTTGCCTTTTGTATTGAGGCTGGTATTTTCTACCTTGATTCCATGTATGACTAACCATCCTGTGAGATGGGAGTACTGTACAGTATTAGATGAACTTATAGCTACTTTTTTATCTACACTGTATAATCTTTCATATAGAATAGGGTAGCAGCGTATTGCTGTGTATACCTAAGCTTCAAAAAACAAATCAAATCTTCCTAAAACAAATCAATAATAAAGGTTTTAAATTATAGTTTGTATTACCAGTATTAGGATTTGTTCTACTCACTGGTGAATTTTCAGCTGACAGGATTTGTTTTACTCACAGGTGCATTATCTGTTAAAAAATTTGGGTTATTGTTACAATGCTGCTACATAGCCTTCCCGGCTTGGTGCCTTCTTTTGATAATTACAGTACTGTACTCACTTATTGTTACACAGCCAAATTGTGTAACAGGAAGAGGTCTTGGACCCCTACTTTCCCCTCTCTTTTTTTTAACAAGCCATAATAGTCCATACAGTCATAATTATAGGTTTAAGTATTCAATGAGAGAAGTTTTTGAAGTTTTTACCCTTTTCCTCACCTAACATAATTTGTGCAGCATATTTTTCTTTTATGTATCACCCAGATTTAATTTCAAAATAAAATCAAACAAAATAAATTAAAAATAGGTATGTATAACTAAGGTACACCCCTAGCTGTGCTTATTGCTAGGTGAACAGGGGCATTTGGTGACGGTAAATGCTCCCACCATCACCTTCTCTCATGTTTCATGTTCACCAGTGTTTATTTACTTAATAACTACTGGTATAATATCTTGTTATTATAAAACTAATTCTAATACTGTATCATAAAAGACATATTTACTACAAGTTTCAAGCAGAGAATGCATATATAGTTAACACGGACTCCGTCTTGAAACGCGCCAGCAAATTTGTTTGTTTATAAGAAAATCGATCCTCCATGTTGTGTAGTAGAGAAAAATTGAGTTATATCCAGTTTACGTAAAGCTACGAGTAGTCGAGACCATCCTTAAATCAAGTCGGTGTACTTACAAAGATTTTTATATGTAAATGCCTACCTGAATACCAACGTAGCCGCAACGAAGGTTGCTAAAAAGAAAAACATTCGTAAGTACGTATGTAACTTTCGTGAATCTGGCCCCTGTTTTGTATTTCCTCTCACCGGCAGCCATCTTGAATGTTGTTGTCTGCTCTGTTAACACTAGGGCAACTTTTTCTCATCCAATTTTTTTACTTCGCTTTGCACATTCGTGTTATCTCGCCTATTTTTCAAAGCACTTCACCTTTAGGTTCGTTGGTACACCACTTACTATCATCAACCTGTTCTACAATACTTAGGAACTGTGAAATATCCTGGAGCTCCTCTTGATGCAGGTGCTGACACAAGGGGTGTACAACATTTTTTATTTAGTGTATAGGGTATGGCAGGCCAGGGTGGTGTGGGGCACGGCGCCAGGCAGGCATCTGCTTGATGGGGTTCTAGGAGTTCTTCTACTCCCCAAGCCTGGCCCGAGGCCAGGCTTGACTTGAGAGTTTGATCCACCAGGCTGTTGCTTGGAGCGGCCCGCAGGCTCACATACCCACCACAGCCCGGTTGGTCCAGAACATCTTTTAGAAAACAGTCTAGTTTTCTCTTAAAGATGTCCACGGCTGTTCCGGCAATATTTCTTATAGTCGCTGGGAGGACGTTGAACAACCGCGGACCTCTGATGTTTATACAGTGTTCTCTGATTGTGCCTATGGCACCTCTGCTCTTCACTGGTTCTATTCTGGATTTTCTTCCATATCGTTCACTCCAGTACGTTGTTATTTTACTGTGTAGATTAGGGACCTGGCCCTCCAGTATTTTCCATGTGTATATTAGGGACCTGGCCCTCCAGTATTTTCCATGTGTATATTATTTGGTATCTCTCTCGTCTCCTTTCTAGCGAGTACATTTGGAGAGCTTTGAGACGATCCCAATAATTTAGGTGCTTTATCGCATTTATGTGTGCCGTATATGTTCTCTGTATTCCCTCTATTTCAGCAATCTCTCCTGCTCTGAAGGGGGAAGTGAGTACTGAGCAGTACTCGAGATGGGACAACACAAGTTACTTGAAGAGTACAACCATCGTGATGGGATCCCTGGATTTGAAAGTTCTCATAATCTATCCTATCATTTTTCTGGCTGATGGAGTATTTACTTGGTTATACTCCCTAAACGTTAGATCGTCAGACATCATTATTCCCAAATCCTTGACATGCTGTTTACCTATTATGGGCAGATTTGATTGTGTTTTGTACCCTGTATTATGTTTCAGGTCCTCATTTTTGCCGTACCTGATTACCTGGAATTTATCGCTGTTAAACACCATGTTATTTTCTGCTGCCCAATAGAAAACTTTGTTGATATCTGCTTGTAATTTTTCCATGTCTTCAACAGAGGTAATTTTCATGCCGATTTCTGTGTCATCTGCAAAGGATGACACGAAGCTGTAACTTGTATTTTTATCTATATCTGATATGAGAATAAGGAACAGCAGCGGTGCAAGGACTGTACCTTGAGGTACAGAGCTTTTAATTGCGCTTGGACTTGATTTTATTTGATTGACTTACTCTGTGTTCTGTTCAACAGGAAATGAGTATCCAGCGTCCAGTTATTACCATTGACCTTATTTTGTGTGCAATCACTCCATGATCACATTTGTCAAATGCCTTTGCAAAGTCTGTGTATACTACATCTGCATTTTGCTTTTCTTCTAGAGCTTCTGTGATTTTGTCATAGTTGTTGAGTAACTGTGACAGACAGGATCTGCCCGCTCTAAATCCATGTTGTCTTGGGTTGTGTAACTCATTATTTTCCATAAAACTAATCACTCTTTCAAAAACTTTTATTATGTGTGATATTAGTGCAACTGGCCTATAATTTTTTGCCAAGGCTTTACTCCCCCCCTTGTGCTATGGAGCTATATCTGCAGGTTTAAGTGCTGCTGGTATTTCCCCTGTATCCAGGCTCTTTCTCCATATTACGCTGAGTGTTCTCGCTACTGGTACTTTACATTTCTTTATGAATATTGAATTCCATGAGTCACGCCCAGGAGCTGAGTGCATGGGCATATTGTCAATTTCTCTTTCAAAGTCTTTCGAGTTCGTGTTAATATCCGGTATATTATCTGCAGTTTGAATGTCATTCATAAAGAAGCTGTCTGGGTCATCAACTTTCATGTTATTTATTGGTGTGCTAAACATAGCCTCATACTGGCTTCTTAGAATTTCACTAATTTCTTTGTTGTCCTCTGTGTACGTACCTTCAGTAGTAATTAAAGGTCCAATACTGGTGGAGGCTTTTGATTTTGATTTTGCATATGTGAACAAATATTTTGGATTTTTCTTTGTCTTGTATAGCTTTCTGTTCCAATTCCATTTCCTCAGACGCGTATGATCACTTCAACGTTTGTTCTATTTCTTCGATCTCCCTGTTTAGGTTTATTTTCCTTGCTTGTGATAGTCGTGTCTGCCTAAGCATTTCCGTTATTTTTTTCCTTCTGTACAGTCATCTGCGTTCTCTTTATAGAGTGGTCCTCTTTCTGACCCTTCTCACAGACACGTGCTTCAGGCAGACCTTCTATGCTTCAGCTGTCAGGTGTGGGGCACGGCAGGCAAGGCAGGTGTGGGGCACGATATGCCCAGGCTGGTGAAGGGCACGGCAGGTCATGGCTGGTGTGGGACACAACTGGCCATGGCTGGTGAGGGGCACGGCAGGCCATGCTGGTGTGGGGCACAGCAGGACTGGGCTGGTGTAGGGCACAGAAAGGACAGGGCTGGTGTAGGGCACGGCAGGCCATGCTGGTGTGGGGCACAGCAGGACAGGGCTTGTGTAGGGCACAGCAGGACAGGGCTGGTGTAGGGCATGGCAGGCCTGGCAAACCAGGCAGGTGTGAAACTAGCTCATGCTACTTTCACAAATTTTTGATAATTTGTTTACATTCTTGGAGAAGGGGGGGTACATTTGATGGTTTTGAGACTGCGGTCTGTGCCTCTCTGGGGGGGCCAGATTCTGGCTCATGGTCCCCGGTAGGCCAATAAGAATTCTGCGACTGATGACACCTAGTAGTATGGCACTGAATCTGTGTAATAGCTTCAAGGAGCTATCAGGACTCGCCCAGAAATTGGTGTTTCATTACATTCAAAGCTGGGTTTTTTTTTTTGGGGGGGGGGATGAAGAGCTCTGGATTTACTTAGAGATAATTACACCACATTGAAAATTCTAGGAACTGAGCTTCCTCTCTTCTCCCCCTCCTCCCCCTTGAAAAATTTACTATTACAAAGCATTGAAAATTTTTAATAAATATGAGAAATGTAACCAATATTTCAGACTTAGTTAAAATTTCATAGGTGTTATCTTTAAATGCTAATACAATTTCTTTAAGCATTTCAAATGGGCCAACCCCAACTGGCCTATTACACACACCTACCCCAAATGTTTCGTGTATGAACGTTGATCAAGGCTAGCTCTAAGTTTCTGGTGGTCTCCTACCTCATACAAACAAATGAATATAATCTCTCATATTTACTTAGTAATTACATACATGGCTGGCATTGCTGAATATGCAAAAACTTATAAATATTTTAACATTCTTCCCATTTTAAATTGTAAACAAATTTAGCTTTTGAATGAAGATGTATGCCCACGATTGATCTGTATCACTATAAATATAAAGTTGGCGTTGCATTTACCTGGTCCGTTTACCCTAGTTGAAGAGGTGCGAAGTAATCCATTCGAACCTGCTGGTCTGACCCGATCACAAGCGAACAAAAAGTACCGAATTGCGTATTGGTACTGCGGATTAATACATTACTGGAGCCGAATAATCATTTGCTGGCAGACTTGCTCCTGAGATTGCATGGGCTTTAGTAACTTATATGTAGTTTGTTTACCTAAGTTTGGAGGCCAAATGCTGGCATGGCACGAACAATAATTATAATCAGTAGAAATAGATAATGTGATTCTCCTACTTGGCATTAAGAGAATATATAGCACAAGGAAAGAAAATGTCATTGACAAATGTGGAATGGAGAGCAAAGTTGGCGAATCACAAGACTAAAGGAAGTACACGAGATGGTTTATGTGTGTTGAACCAATTGGTGAAGGTTGTGGTGGTAGTGGTGGATTCAACTTTCCCTTTTGAATGAAGATAAGAAATGGTTATGATAATGATATAAAATTATTTTTAGTAATTTTATTTGCTTTTGTTTTCAGACTCCATTAGAAAAGGCACAAAGTTTCAAGAATAAAGGAAACAAGTATTTCAAAGGGGGTAAATATGCAGAAGCCATCAAGTGCTATAATGAAGCCATTGAAGCTTGTCCACCAGAGTGTCCAGTTGACTTGTCTACATTCTACCAGAACCGAGCCGCGGCTTATGAACAGCTGGTTAGTTTGCATCTATTTGTGGAGTCTTTTCACCGTGAAAAACTAATTGGATGTACTGTGTATAAAATTTGCCATAACTGAGTCAAGTTTTCAATTTCCAATTCACAAGATGAGTTTGGACCTATAGTTAAACTATATTGTTAGGACATTAATTTGTGGTGTGTGCAGAGCATTCATCATTTATGTCATGGGCCAACATGGTAGCCCTTTATATCTAGGGATGCCCCACAACTGTGGCAGACAATGAAATGATAGTTAAAATGATTTAACAAGGAAAGTTCTTGATATTTGACTCTTCTTTATGCAGAAACTGTTACTGTATTTACTTTCCTGAACTATCACTTTCACCCATTTCACTTTGTGTGAATCATTTACAGAGTTGTTTAACAGTTTTGAGGCTGTTTTCTGTGACCTCGTCTAGTTGTCTGTAAAGCGTCACAGACTTTCTGGAGGCTTTTTTCTTATGTGGGCAGCAAATTGCCACGTGCTTTGAGGCAAGGGTTCCCGGTAGGCAAAATGGAACTTTGGCAATTGATATCACCATTTAGTTTAGAGCAATGTTGGCAAGATAGTTTCAGGTTCAGGAGACACCAGGTCTCCTCTAGAAAAAAGGAGTTTCATTACATTCAATGCTGTTTTTTTTCATTCTCATATCAGACATAGACTTGGATACAAACTTTCAATACAGAGAGAGTAATCACACTAACGTGACTGCATCACTGAGAAAATTCGTAGGAGCAGCGATGAGGGTTCGAACCTTGACTGGAAGTTCCCACGCACACGCTTCTAGCAATTAGACCATGACATGGTAATAGGGATTGCAACCTGGAGTTCTAATGAACCCACAAGGATTTCCCATCTTCTCCCAGTGGAATTCTGCTGAACCCACAAGGATCAATCCACAGGTGAAAATCCTGTTCCCACTTCAGTAGAAGCCTCAGGAGCTCCTTGTGGGTTCAGTAGAACTCCAGGTTGCAATCCTTATTACCATGTCATGGTCTAGTCACTAGAAGCGTGTGCGTAGGAACAACCACCACATAGGTTCAAACCCTCATCGCTGCTCCTACGGATTTTTGTTCGAATATGTTCACTTCGAACTTCCCCAGTAAAAATTATACTTATCCGATTGTCTGGCTTATCTGTCCTTCCCATATGGTTGAGATCAATAAACTCATACAGTATATATTATGGATGGCAAAGTTTAAACATATAGAGAATGGATTTAACAAAATAAAAAATACCTTATTGAGCAATGTGAGCATTGGGTTTGTGTATTTAGCAAAAATAACATTACATCTATTGGCATATGCACCTCGACAAATATTTATGAGTATACAGGAGTGTGCACCAGACAATTTGTGTTTATTATTGTAAGTTATCTTATCATTCTTGTAAATTGAACAGAAAAACTGGGAATGTGTCCTTCGAGACAGCACAGCTGCTCTGGAGCTCAACGACCGCTATGTGAAGGCTCTGCAAAGAAGAGCAAAGGCTTGTGAAGTATTAAAGGATTTGGAACAAGCATTGGAAGACTTGACTGCTGTGTGCATCATAGAATCATTCCAAAATCAGGCAACACTTGTCAATGTAGACCGTGTGCTGAAAGAATTAGGTAAGTCTACAATCATTGCATTTAAAATGTAGGTGAATGTTATACATGCGCAACATTCCACAGTTCATTTTATTCCACCATATTTAGTGCATTAGTGGTGTTGGAGGGAGGGAGAGGGTTTGTATGTAATTACTAAAATTAAAATATAAATTAAAATTAAAAATTAAAATTAAAATTAAAATATAATTAATGAAATTTGAAACTGTGCCCAAGTGAAGTTACAGGATGAGAGAGACGCTCGTGGTGTCCCGTTTCTCATCACTTCTTTTCATATAACATTTTGAAACTACTCACATTTTGGTCTCCACCACCTTCTTTCTTGACTTGTTTCAGATTCCACGTCATGTCGAGCCACTTTGTTTGCAAAAGTGAATTTTCTTATATTTTTTTTACAGCTTTGTTTACCTAGCTTAAATTTATAACCACTAGTTCATAAGGTTCCAGGTCTCAGGAATTCTTCCTTATCAATTTTGACAATTCCCGTTACTATTTTGTAAGTAGTGATCACATTGCCTCTTTTATTCTATATTTTAATTTTGTCATACTTAATGCCTCTAACCTGTCTTCGTAGCTCATCTTTCAATTCCAGAAGCCGTTTGGTTGCGTGTCTTTGCACCTTTTCCAGTTTGTTGTTGATGTTCTTGAGATATGGGCACCATACAACAGCTGTTTATTCCAACTTTGGTCTCACAAAGGTCGTGAACAATTTCTTTAATGTTTCACCATCCATGTATTTAAAAGCATTTTTGAAATTGGAAAGTGTAGCATAGGTTCCTCACACACTGTTCCTTATGTGGTCTTCAGGGGAATTTTCTATCTAGCATCACACCTATCTTGAGGTTATCTTGAGATGATTTCGGGGCTTTAGTGTCCCCGCGGCCCGGTCCTCGACCAGGCCTCCACCCCCAGGAAGCAGCCCGTGACAGCTGACTAACTCCCAGGTACCTATTTACTGCTAGGTAACAGGGCTAGGTAACCTAGATATTTTCCAATATCGGAAATCTTTAAAACTGTTCCAAATAATTTGTAGGTTATGTGTGGCTTATTTTCTTCTATTCCACATTCCATAAAGTGGGATTTATTCATATTAAATTCCATTTACCAAGTGTTGCTCCATACACTTTTGTCCAGGTATTCTTGAAGGACATGACAAGCATCTAAGTTTATCTTCCCTAGTATCTTAGCATCATCAGCAAACATGTTCATATACTGTAGTTCTGTATTCCTTCTGGTAGGTCGTTCATGTAGACAATGAACATAACTGGTGCTAGAACTGAACCACGATGGTTCAAAAGTCGACCAACCCGGAACTTCTGAATTCATTGATATATCGTGCCATTGTGATTTCTTTGTGATCTGATGTGGGGCGTGTGAGTGTAAACGCCATTGCGGTAGGGCAGAATGTGGTCAAGCCAATTGTAAAACCCTGGTTGGGCTCCAGTTCGGGGCCTCCAGAACCTCCCAATGAATTCAATTGGGTTCCGGGTTGGTGGACTTCTGTACCATCGTGGCCGAGTTGGCACGTGTCTGGGAATCGCCAAAATACTGGTTCAAGTCACTCCATAGTTTTGAAATGATTTTCATGGATATCACACCATTGTAATTTCATTGCAATGTGTGTTTATGTACTCACCTAGTTGTGCTTGCGGGGGTTGAGCTCTGGCTCTTTGGTCCCGCCTCTCAACTGTCAATCAACAGGTGTATAGATTCCTGAGCCTACTGGACTCTATCATATCTACACTTGAAACTGTGTATAGAGTCTGCCTCCACCACATCACTGCCTAATGCATTCCATCTGTTAACTACTCTGACGCTGAAAAAGTTCTTTCTAACGTTTCTGTGGCCCATTTGGGTACTCGGTTTCCACCTGTGTCCCCTTGTTCGCGTCCCACCCGTGTTAAACAGTTTATCATTATCTACCCTGTCAGTTCCTCTGAGAATTTTGTACTTAGTGATCATGTCTTCCCGACCTCTCCTGTCTTCCAGCGACGTGGGGTGCATTTCACGCAGCCTTTCCTCGTAACTCATGTGTATGTGTGTGTAAATCACGAAGAGATTAAAACAAGATGAATAATGTCACAATGTTTGACCATAAAGGAAAATGAAACAGGAAATTTTTTGTACTTTCCTATTAATAGATTTCAGAAGGATGGATATTACAAGTCGGTGGTGGTGATGTATCACCAACACTGACTTGTAATATTAATCCTTCTTAAGATGTAATTACCTAAGTGTCGTTACAGGATGAGAGCTACACTCGTGGTGTTCCGTCTTCCCAGTACTCTTTGTCATATAATGCTTTGAAATTACTAACAGTTTTGGCCTCCACCACCTTCTCACTTAACTTGTTCCAACCGTCTACCACTCTGTTTACAAAAGTGAATTTTCGTATATTTCTCCGGCAGCTTTGTTTCGTTAGTTTAAATCTATGACCTCTTGTTCTTGAAGTTCCGGGTCTCGGGAATTCTTCCTTATCAATTTTATTGATTTCTGTTACTATTTTGTACGTAGTGATCATATCACCTCTTTTTCTTCTATCTTCTAGTTTTTGCAAATTTAATGCCTCTAACCTCTCCTCATAGCTCTTGCCCTTCAGTTCTGGGAGCCACTTGGTGATATGTCTTTGCACCTTTTCCAGTTTGTTGATGTGCTTCTTAAGATATGGGCACCACACAACAGCTGCATATTCCAGCTTTGGTCTAACAAAAGTCATGAACACTTTCTTTAGTATATCGCCATCCATGTATTTAAAAGCAATTCTGAGGTTAGAAAGTGTAGCATAGGCTCCTCGCACAATGTTCTTAATATGGTTCTCAGGTGACAGTTTTCTATCTAGAATCATCCCTAGATCCCTTTCTTTATCAGAATTCAATAAAGATTTCTCACATAATTTATAGGTTGTGTGGGGTCTGTTCTCCAATTCCACATTCCATAACATGGCATTTATTCACATTAAATTCCATTTGCCAAGTATTGCTCCATATACTTATTTTGTCCAGGTCTTCTTGAAGGGCATGACAATCATCTAAGTTTCTTATCTTCCCTATTATCTTAGCATCATCAGCAAACATGTTCATGTAATTCTGTATTCCCACTGGTAGATCGTTTATGTAGACAATGAACATTACCGGTGCAAGAACTGAACCCTGTGGTACTCCACTCATAACATTCCTCCAATCCGATACCTTGCCTCTGATTATGGCCCTTTTTTCTGTCAGTTAGGATTATTGCGGATTTTTCTGTCAGTTAGGAAATTTTTCATCCATGTTAGTAGCTTACCTGTCACCCTCCATTATGTTCCAGTTTCCAGAACAACCTCTTATGGGGAACTCTGTCGATAGCCTTTTTTTTAGGTCCAGATAGATGCAGTCAACCCAACCATCTCTTTCCTGTAAAATCTCTGTGGCTCGATCATAAAAACCGAGTAAGTTCGTTACACAGAATCTTCCAGATCGAAAACCATACTGTCTGTCTGATATTATATCGTTTTCCTCCAGGTGTTCTACCCATTTAGTTTTAATTATTTTTTCCAATATTTTGACTATTACACTTGTCAATGATACAGGTCTATAATTATGGGGTCTTCCCTGCTTCCACTTTTGTAGATTGGAACTATGTTAGCCTTTTTCCACACATCAGCTACAACTCCTGTACACAGGGATGCCTGAAAAATCAGTTGAAGTGGAATGCTGAGCTCAGGTGCACATTCTCTCAGAACCCATGGTGAAACTCCATCTGGACCAACTGCCTTGTTCTTACTTAGCTCCTTGAGCATTTTTTCCACTTCGTCTCTAGTCACCTCTATGTGCTCTATGTTGTTCTCTGGAATTCTTATTGTGTCTGGTTCCCTAAAGATTTCATTTTGTACAAACACACTTTGGAACTTTTCGTTTAGTGTTTCACACATTTCGTTTTCATTTTCCGTGAATCTATTTCCCATTTTCAACCTCTGAATATTATCCTTTACCTGCAATTTGTTGTTTATGAATTTATAGAATAGACCTGGTTCTGTTTTACATTTGTCTGCAATCCCTTTTTCAAAATTTTTTTTTTTTGAGATATATACAAGAGTTGTTACATTCTTGTACAGCCACTAGTACGCGTAGCGTTTCGGGCAAGTCCTTAATCCTATGGTCCCTGGAATACAATCCCCTGCCGCGAAGAATCGTTTTTTCATCCAAGTACACATTTTACTGTTGCGTTAAACAGAGGCTACAGTTAAGGAATTGCGCCCAGTAAATCCTCCCCGGCCAGGATTTGAACCCATGACATAGCGCTCGCGGAACGCCAGGCGAGTGTCTCTGCCTCTCTAATCACTGCCGTGTAGTTGTTTCTCGCACCTTTGTATCGCTGGTATGTTTGGGGGTTTGGCCTCTTCCTGTATTGATTCCATTTTTGTCTCTTTTGGTCTCTGGCCCTCTCGCAATTTCTGTTGAACCAATCCTGTTTCCTAGTTCTGCATCTCTGTTTTGGTATAAATTTTTTTGTGCCTTTATCATATATTTCACAAAACTTGACATACATCTCATTCACTTCCTTGCCTAGCAACAAGTCTGTCCAATTATACTCACTAAAAAAATTTCTAAGGTCGCCATAATCTCCTCTCCTGAAGTCAGGTTTTTCAACTGCTTCAACCTCCTTATTTTCTTCAAGATTATAGTGCATTGCATACTTTATTCCCAAAAAGACATGGTCACTTTTACCCAAGGGAGGAAGGTACTGAATGTCAAATACCTCTTCCTCCTTCCTGGTAAATATCAAATCTAGCATGGAGGGAACGTCCCCTTCCCTCATCCTCGTAGCTTGTTTAACATATTAATACAAGAATGTTTCCAGGATGAGGTCCAAAAATCTTCTGTTTTAGCTTCATATGCTTCCCAGTCTATGGATTTCAAGTTGAAGTCGCCGACTATCAACAGTCGTGACCTATCGTTATCCGCTCTCGCTATAATCTCTCTCATTATTGTTATAAGACCTTCTCGTTTACTGTCTAGCTTCTCCTTTGACCATGTGCTGCTTGGCGGTGGACTATATGCATTTATTATCATTAGTTTATCATCCTCATGGCAGATCTCTAGTGCTATTATGTCAACTTCTTGTGGATTGGCAGTCATTATTTCTTTCACCTTGAGGTGTTCTTTCACCAGCACAGCAACGCCACCGCCTTTCCTAATTTTTCTGTCCCGTCTCCAAATTGAGTAGCCCCTTGGGAATATGACTTCATTTAAAATAACATCTTCAAGTTTTGTCTCCGTGAGTGCAACGATGTCTGGTGTCTGCAGCTGTATTACATCACTTAACTCCAGTATCTTCGATCTTACTCCATCTATGTTGGTGTATGCAATCTTCAGGAACTTGTTCCCCTTCTCCTTATTCTTCACTCCCCCTCTCTCTAATGATTTTGTTGGTTTGCCTTTATGTACCACTTTACTGGTCTGCCTACCCCTATCACTTTGTAGAAAAAAAGAATTGATTTCTTCTTCATTCCTGCTCTCATTTAAATGTTTTGCCTCGGCGAGGTTCAGTTTCAGCTTCTCTCTGTCTTCTTTTGAAAGGTCTCGTCTTAACGACCACACTTTCCCATCCTCATCACTTTGTAATTTTCTAGCATTCCTTAGTACTACTTCCATCTGTTTAGCACCGTTTAGGGTGATCCTCAAAGGTCGATCTTTCCCTTTTACATATCTGCCTATTCTCCTGTAGTCGCGCACATTCTCTATGGTAGTAAGACTTTCCACGAGGCCAACAATTTTATCTACTACTTTCGCTTCTTCTACAGCTCTTTCTGACCTAGATGTTATCTCCTTTTCTTTGCAACCAAAGATTATCAGGGACTTACTTCGATCAACTGTGTTTTGCACCAACTTCGGATTAGATGCCAATTCTTTTCTCACTTCCAGCCTAATGTTTGTTTTATCTTGGTTGCTGCAGTGTTTGGCTTCCTTTACTGCTTCTTCAATGTGTTCCTTCTCCTTGGCCACTTGTGCATAGGTGAGTTGCATATCTTTCTTGCACTGTTCTATTCCCTGTGTAACTTCCTCCATCTGTGCTGACAAAAGCTGTTTCTCCTGTTGAATTTCCTTACCTAACCTATTGTAGTCATTTATGTTTAAATTTACTTTAACTTCTTCCAAAGCTATTTTTAAGAGTTTATTTTCTTCTTCCATGGCTTTGCAATTTGTTTCCAATCGATTCTTATTCTTACACAAGTCTTTCACTAAACCCTCAAGACATAAAACTTTGCTATTCAAATGGTCATTACTTTCTTTCAATTTACTAATTATTTCTACATGAGAGTTCACTATAGTATCTAATTTTACCAACTTGTTATGTAGACTGCTAATATCAATGCTTTCTTCATTGAATCCAGCAAAATCAAGCTCTGTTTTGTTTTTCCCCTTGCCGGTGGCCATCTTGAATGTTCTTCTCTGCACTGGAAACACTAGGGCAACTTTTTCTCATCCAATTTTTCACTTCCCTTAGCACTTTCCTGTTATCTCACCTATTTTTCAAAAGCACTATACCTTTATGTTCTCTGGGACACCACTCACTACCATCAACCTGTACTACAATACTTAGGATTGTTGAAATATGCTGGAGCTCCTCTGCTGCAAGTGTTGATCCTAGGGGTGTCACCTTTTTCTCCTGTGTGTAATGTGTATTGATTAATATGAAAGTATGTAAGGAATTTTGTCTCGTTTTCCTTCATGGTCAGACATTGTCATATGTGTGTACTGTATATGTATGCATATACAATATACTGTATAAATGACAAATAACCTCATGACTTTAACTTGTAACAGGTCGTATGCATGCTAAGGAGGCCATGGAAAAGCGCGAGCCCGTCATGCCTTCAAAGCACTTCATAAAGACTTTCTTCGAGTCTTTCGCAGAAGATCCAATCTTTAACTCGGTAGACAAAGAGAAGGAGGGAGATGTAGATGAGACAGAACATCCTCCTGAGAAAAATACTTCTAACAAGTATGTTCTGTATAAATGTATCAGTCTCCAGGAATTGTGTACTTGCTATACAGTATGACAATTACTGTCATTGATAGTTATTCACCTAATTCTCATACTACTACACTTTCTGGGGGGAGCCCCTACGACTCCTCGGAGCTATCCATGGCTGATATGGATACCTTAACTATTTTGCATCAGTCGATGTGGGTGGAGTTCTAGGCCTACCGCGGACCACGAGTCAGAACCTGGTCCCCCTAACAGAGACATAAGGAGCAATGGCCCATAGAAATGCACATGTGATTTGGAGCATTCTGTATCTGCCATCGACCGGGACAAGCACCCAGAAAGGTAAGCGCCACAAAACAAACCCCTATTCTGGTTAAATCAACGAAAATAGCCAAACGGGTGGACAGAACTCCCCAAAACAAAAACGAGCAAACAAGCATGACGTCACATGAGCCGCACCATATGTCTGCGCAGCTCCCCCCCTCCCCAGGAGGGGAAAGGGGGAGCCCCAGACCCTCGCGCCGTTGATCCACACTTCAGTTCCTCGGCTGATGGGATCGTGCATAGTCGTGTGGCTCCAACTCCAGTCTTCTCTCAGTGTTCTTGGTTTCAGTTCTGCTCTTACGGTGGTCGGGTGTGCTGGGAGTAATTTCTCAGGTACTCGGGCTGCATGTGCTTAGGGTCACCTTCCCTGAGTGCCCTGTAAGTACCGCCCTTGGGGCTTGGGGTTCCCCTCCACAAGTCACCTTGGGTCTACCTCTGCTGGCCTTTCGCTACTTGGCGTTTGGCCGCCCAGAGTGTGTGGGGGGGATTTTCCATCCTTGTTTACCTTCGGGTAAGTGGTAGTTAATGCACTGGTGGGGTGCAGGGTACTGCGTAGCTAGTTTTCACCTTTAACAGCGGTCGGCTCTGTTCTCTTTAGGTACATTGTCCTCTTGCGAGGTTTTCTTTTCTTTTTCTTTTTGCCTGGTGGGGGGGGGTCTGCCTTGTGTTCTCCCTCCCCCTTATCTTAGGATCGTTTGTGTGGTGGCACCCCCTGCTTCGCCCTCGCGAGTGGACACGTCCCGTGGGTTCAGCTTTAGCAGTTTGCTTGGTAGTTTGGGGTGCCGGTTAGCAGTACCCTGCCTGGAATAACCCTTAGCAGACCCAGTCTAGGGACCCTGGGGAAACCCCGCGGGGGCACTCGGGTCCATTGGGTGAGACCTCTCTTGCGTTGTGCGAGTTTGAGGGTTGCTCTGTCCCCTTGTCTCAGGGTAATGCTCCTTGTTTTTGCCTCCGTCATGCTGCCTGTTGGGTCGGTGACTTTTTTTTTTTTTTATATAGATATATACATGAGTTGTTACATTCTTGTACATTGTTGTGCATCTTGGCTACTCTCATGCTCATGCTAGGTTGGGATATGTTCTGGTTCAGTTTTCTGTTGTAGAACAGGCCCAGTGTTCCGGTATGGCTCTGAGTTCTTCCTCTTCTCCTTGTCTGTCACTACCAGTTTCTGTGTTGCAATGTGTGCTTGTGTATGTTGCTTTCCGTTCACCCACTCCTGCCCCTACAGTTCTTTTTCGTTGGGGCGAGGGCGCTTGGCTTCTGACCTGCCTACGGCTTTTCTTTGTGTTCCTTTCCGGACAATGTTTTTGTTTTAGTGCAGGACATAGCTTTCGTAGTTCCCCTTCCTTCCTCTGTGACGCATGCTTTGTAATGCCCTGCTAGGTCTGGTGGTGCCGCTCCTGCGGGTTGCGGTGTCACTGTTTTTCGCTTCACGTCTTGGGTTTCGGCTCGTGGTGCTCGTTTTCTTGTTGGCCTTTGCTCTTAGGTTTTTCGCTGCCCCTTTTGCCTTTGCGGTTTGGCAGTTTCTGCAAGCGGCGGCTTCTTGTTGTCAGTTATCGGGTTTATTGTTCCTTCAGGGGTCCCAGGGGGGGGGGGTGCCTTTCGGACGGGGCGTATCTACTCAACCTGGTTGGTTCTTTCCCGGCTAGCCAGGTTTGGGTTCCTGGTTCCCTGGCAGACGTTCCTTTTGGTTCTTTAACAGTCTTGGTTCTGGCACAACTTGCTCGGTGTCTGCACCCAGGGGTTTTCCCATGGCTCCGCCTCTTTTACTTGGTCGGTTAGGTCTTCTCCTCGAGTCTTCTAGTCTGGTACTTGTGACTCAAGTCTCTCACCATCTGTTTGGCGATCAGCTGGCTTCTTGAATGTGTCCCTTGGGCGTGCTTTGTCTCGGCAGCGGTATGGGATTTTCTGGCGGTCCTTCTTTGTCTTTTTGTCTCTTCATAGGTGTACTGCGCTCTTTGTTGTCGTGGTCTTGTCCTCCTCTTGTGGTGGTTCAGGGCCGTCTTCTGGCCACATACCGTCGCCCTGTCTCGTGCGACGTAATTGGAGCCGGTTTGGATTGCTCCAGTTTTGTTGTTCCTTCTGCACCGTTCACATGTTGTCTCGGGCATTGTTCACATCCAGCCTGCTCATGCTCCACCTGAGCCGTCCTGCTCTGGGGTAGGGTGCTTTTTCTCTCTTCCCTTTGCTTTGTTGTGGCCCCTTCGGTTCCGGAGGGGTCCTTAGGGTTGTTGCTGCTTGGTTTGTTGGCCGGGGTGTTTCTTCTTGTGTCCGGTTGCGGTTCTCTGCCGTTCTTGGTGCGCCACGGCCTCTGTGGCCGGGGCTGCGCTTTGGGTTGATCCAGTTTCCGTTTTTTCCTGTTCTCGGGTTCGGGTTTCTCAGGTCGTCTGCTGGGTCCTTCTGTCTAGCCGGCCTGCGGTCTCTACTCATGCCCTTGACGTTCGTAGGTTTGCTGCGCTTGCTACCATCTTTGGTGGCATCTTCGGCTGACAGTCGGGCTCAGGTTTTGGCAGTCGCGATGGGTCCTGGTTGTGCGCTCCTTCATGTATGTTCCTGGGCCTAGTTGGGCCTGTGTCACCTTTGGTCGGCTGTTGCAGCCTGTTGTCTCGACTTCGTGTTGCGGTGTGAGCATCGGCCGCCTCCTGGATGTCTCCCTCTGTTTTCATCTTTGGTGAAGTAGCTCCCCCAGAAAACCAGCGTTGAATATAATGAAACGCCATTTTCTGCGTGAGTCCCGGAGGCTCCCTGACAACCCTCCCTCCCTCCGGTCGGCATTTTTTTCGCATTTTTGGTATCCAGCTTCAGAACTGAAGTGTGGATCGCCGGCATGAGGGCCTGGGGCTTCCCCTTTCCCCTCCCGGGGGAGAGGTGGAGCTGCGCAGACATGCGGCGCAGCTCATGCAACGTCATGCTTGTTTGTTCGTTTTTCTTTTGGGGAGTTCTGTCCACTCGTTTGGCAATTTTCGTTGTTTTAACCAGAATAGGGGTTTTTGTGGCGCTTACCTTTCTGGATGCCTGTCTCGGTCAATGACAGATATAGAATGTTCCAAATCACATTTGCATTTCTATGGGCCATTGCTCCTTGTTCCTCTGTGAGGGGGCCAGGTCCTGGCTCGTGGTCCCTGGTAGGCCTAGAACTCCACCCACATTGATTTGTGCAAAATAGTTAGGGTATCCATATCAGCCATGGGTAGCTCCGAGGAGCCTCCGGAACTCACCCAGAAAATGGCGTTTCATTACATTCATCGCTGGTTTTCTGTGGGGAGCCCTTACAACTCCCTGGAGCTTATCGGGCTAATGTATGTCATATTAGACCGGGACATTAGCTAAGGAGTTCAGACCTACCAGCGCCTGAACCTAGCCCCTTCAGAGAGGTTTCAGGGAGCAATGGCCCTGGAAAACTCCCTTGTGGTTGGGGTTTTGCTTATCTGCCATCGACCAGGGTTAGGCACCCAGAAAGGTAGGCATAACAAAACAAACCCCACATGTTAAGAAACTAAAAACAAAAACTGAACAGAGAGGTAGAACTCCCTTCAATCCCAAGGAAACAAGCAAACGTAACACATTACTGCCTCACCACTTGTCCGTGCAGCCCTCCCCTCCCCAAGAGTGGGGGGGGGGGCCGACCTCACCGTGCCGGCTGCCTAGCACCAGTTCGTAAGCTAATGTCACCCGGGACAAACGCTTCTCTGGCCTCAATTTCCTAGGCGGTGTTTGCCTCCATGGCGTTCACTGCTGTGTGTTGTGTTGTGCGATGGCCAGGTGTTCCTCATTAGTACCGTGGCTGAATGCTCTTAGAGGCTTCCTTCCCTAAGCGCCCTGTGAGTACTGCCCCTGCGTGACAGGGTTATCTTCCCTGGGGCGTTTCGGAACCATTCCCGTAAAGGTTCTTGATGCTCGGCATTTGCCTCACCCTTGGGACCCTTGTTTAACCTTGGGTAGGGACTGGTATTGTGCTGGTTAGGGCGTCAAGGTGTTGCGTGACCTGCTACCTACACGGCGACCAGTTCCTGTTGCCTCTAGGGACGGTGTACTTTTGCGAGGTTTTTCTTTGTTTTTTGTTTTAATTTGCCTGGTGGGGGTCTGCCTAGTGTGGCTATAGTTCCACTGGTAGTGTGTGGTGACTCTGCTAGGCCCCCGTGATTGTAGACGTCACAGGGGTTTTCAGTGTTGGCATCTACCCCTTGCTAGCTTTGGGTATTAACTGATTAGCAACACTTGCCCGGGCTTCCCATAGCAGTCAGTCTGCGGGCCCTGAAAGACCCTGTCGGGGCTTGGTGGACTACTGGATGTGTCTTCCGGGTTGCATCCCATCTTGTGCGGATTCGTTGGTTGCTGTGCTCTTGTCTCAGAGGCGACAGTCGCCTCTTTTACCTCTGTCATGCTGCTTGTTGGGTCACTGACACTTTGACCCCGGAGTCTTGCAAGATGTGTTCTCTGCTTGTTCTCCAGTACTCTTCTGATGTCCTTACTGTTCAGAGTCTAGGCGGCATCCGCGTTGCATGCTCGGTTAGGTTGCTGCCACGCGCTAGGTTGGTTTCCCACCTGAATGCCCCGGGGCCACCCTGTTTTGGTTAGTTGTTGCTCACCCCTTTCCCCTCCCTGTTCCCAGCTCCTGACCGTCTGCGGGTTTCGGGGTCGGGCGGGGTTTAGTTGGTACCGAGACTCGGGCGGCTTTGGGGGCTGAC